CGCTATCCACCCACACACTGTTTATCCGCACGGTGTCCAACCAATCACAGGCAGACCTAGCCAATGGACGCCCTCTCTCTCTGTCTTTTGCCCTGATTTCTGCTAAGACCTCACTTCTGAGCGGACTTGTCTCTTCTAAGTCAATCTACTCTCATCTTCTCTCCTTTCCTTTGTGTACACAATACATTCTTACTACTAATTTGGCCTTTCACGCCTTATCCTATTCACTGGCTTAAACATGTTGGGATACGTTCTCTAGTCTATTATCTGGCTGGACCACATCGTATTCCACAAACTCGTTAAACTGCAGGGCATAGTCCCGATGCCTCACGATTCGCTATGTCTGCATGATATCACTTCGGACCTGCGTGTACTTAAGAGAGAAACGGTTGAGTGCCTCAAGCCTGCATTCGTAAAATAAGAACTTAAAGTTCTTCACAACATTTTTTGGCCTCCTCTGGACACTTTCCAGTACCTCGTAGTCTTTTGAAAAGCATGAACATCACGCCTGCACTCCATTTTCGAGATAGGGACGAAGAAAGGTCCAAAAGGTCTCAACTAGATCTTTGTCGATATCGACAAATGTTTGTTCACCTTGCCCTCTTGGCAGACCCAACCCATTGTGGAGAAGGCTTCAGTGATGACTAAGTTTGAATTCCCAGGCCTTTTTGTTCAGCAGCCCACCTAACTATAATCTTGGGAAACACTCATCAAAAACTGGTCATGATGTTGTTGTTCGCCTGGATGCTTATCAACTCACTCCTATTTTGACCATTTATTTCCCTCCTCCCTGATCTTAGATCCCTTCCAAGCTGCCTGGGAACAATACGCAATTATTATTATAAGACTTAACAGTTCTCAGTTGCGCGGGTAAAATCAATAAATATTGTGATTAAATTCACGGTTCACGGTAAGCTTCGTAACTCAACGGCGTTGACTGCACAAAAGCCTTCCCCGCTGTGTATGAGTTCAACTCCAACCGAGGCCGCGAGTTTTTTCACAATTGGGTCAATTGGGTTTCAAACAACTGCAGATGACAAGGAACTTATGTAGACTATCGGAGCCCCCAGAACAGCAACAATTGCCATTTTATTAACTCACCATAGACGAGGAACTCCATTGTTTTAATTGTCCGATTGCCCAGAAAACACGCAATGGTATGAGTCTCCGGCTTGGACTTTAATTTCTCTGGTGAAACACGCAAAACGCTGGTATTACTCTTTTGCTTCAGTACGCCGTCCACAGTCCAGCTCATTGAAACTGGATATATCTTTATCACGTCCAGAGGCTTGATTGAGCAAATGAATTCCTTCGTGGTAAACTTCACAATCCGATCAATGAATGGTAAAATTGTGGCCTTCACTTGACTAAGAGCTGGAAACGAAAATTGCATGTGTATGGTTGTAAAATGAAATGGAGAATGATTATATGCTGCTGCGTTGCCTCGACGAGGCTACTAAGGTATATTTGCTTAACTGTAAATCCACAGTTTCAGATACGAGAAACAATGAATTTGCGGTATGCAAGGACAAAACCACATTCTGCATATACGTTTTTGAAAACAACCATTTTAATGGTAATGAAATGGCCCTCACTTCATTCCGCTCATTGACATTGGACCGATCCTCAGGATACATCTCGAAACGGGTTTCATATGCACATGACGAAAATCATTTTTTTTATCATCACTGACCCATTAAAGCCTATTTTAGGACCGAGACATTAGTTGAGTGAAATACCAGTCGCGAAACAGTACAGCACGCCAAACATAAGCATCAAGATTTACGGAAATTTCTTATTTTTTGATAGTTAATTGGGTGCGATTAAGTTTTACCCTTTTTTTACTTATTTATTCTAAAACAATTGAGTTTCTCCATATTTCTGAAACAAAATTGGCCGTTGGGAGCTCGTATACTTCAAATAACATGGGGTCCAACTCAACGTCCTTAAGTTAAAAAAAGTAATGTTCCCAGCACGAAGCACCGCATATGCCTTCAGTTTACATGCGCAGCAGCATATCCTTAGTTTATTATTTTTTGTTTTTAATTTATTTATATGAACGTTAGGTTCATTTTTCAATTCATTATTGCGCTTACCATTTTATTTTTCGTGAAGTAAGTTTAGCTTACATTACTGTAGGGTTTTAGCTAACTGATTTTAGTTTTAATTAGTTATTTTTTATTCAGTTATTTAACGATGTTTGTTTATTTGCTGATTTTAATTATGGTGCTTTTTTGTTCACACACATTGAATTATTTGAATACTTATTCCATTTTATTCTACTTTTAGAAAATTTATATTTTTATCTGTGTTTCTTTTCCTTTGTATTGCCCAAAACGATTTTACTCTATGTTAGACTCGGTCCTATATTACAGAAGCATGAGGCTTTCGCGTACTGATCTGGCACCCAAACTAGGATTTTATCAATTATTTATTGAAAACACCAGTCTAAACTGCCCTCCACTTGAATGCTTACCACCTAGTAAATTCTCCTTCTGCTCATCGGTGACATAGGACTATAGACACACTTCACTAGAGCAAAAATCGTTGAGATAAAATAGAGATAAGTAACTACTTAATAACCTACAATTCTGGATACCGTTGGAGGATGGTGTATTTTCCAGAAATGTCCGTTTGCTACCAAACGGGTATAAGAGAGAATTACCTTGCTGACGTTTTCCAAAAAACGTTTTTTTAATTTATAGAAGCAGGCTAAATCAATACTAAAATGCTTACTACTTAAGCAGCCAATTTTTACGGTTAATTCTTTTGTAGCGTTCAAAAGGAGGTCAGCGTCCTATTGTGACCGAAATGCCTTGATAATTGGCTACACGATAATCGATATTTTAACTTTACTCAATGCTGACTTGCCAATGAATATCAACCTTTCGCAAATGTGGGCATGCTGCGAGAATTCTGAGCCGTAGCGGATACTGGCAAAGCCAAATTACTAACCGCCAGTAGGACGACGAAAGATTAAGCGACAGAATGAACTGCAGAACGGAGGTTTGTAACAGAGAGCTAGGGCAAAATGCCAATGATACGACGGACAACAGAAAGGAGGTAATTAGCTTACGGATAATGGTGAAGGTCGGTTTCAGCTGAAAGACTTCTGCGCCCCAGGTTTTCTGACAGGAGATCTTTGAAGTAAATGTTTCTGTATAAAAGGACCGTATTTCAATTTCACCACGCGACCGTAATTTGCTGATAAATTCGGGAAAGTAGCATCGATGAATGGGAATGTCCTCCTGTTTTCCGCTTTTGACCGTTACTTGCAGACTTTGCCTAAATTCGGGAATTATTGTACCTTCCGGCGGATTCACGAACGCTTCGGAGGAGCTGTTAGCTATCAGAAAGAAAGACCGACCAACGTTGCAACGGAAGCTACGGCCTCTAAAGTCTTACAACAATGAAGAAATGGTCGTTCTTCATAATAGGGCATATCTTGATTTATGAAGAAATATAACGTTTAATAGAAATACCAGCTTTTTAGCAAAGTATAACATTGCGAAAAAATTAAAATTGGACGTACTAGGTAAGTTTACCATGTAGAGGAAGCCTGTTTATATAAAAACACCGAATGAGTATAGCAGCACATGTAAAATTACGTTGGAAAAAAATTCCTTTGCGAATTTTTATGATACACACGAATCTATCTTTTGCGGAATGTAATGTGTGGATAGTACCGAACAGCCCAAATTTCGAATATGCATTCCAACACGTTATACGGGAATTTCCGTAGGGATTCCATGTGGGGTGTTCGGAAGGAATTTGTGTATTATTGACACCTACTTTAATGTTTTAAGTAGGTTGAATTAACCTTAATCTTCCAGTTTTTTACACGACATCCGTCGATCTAGCAGGCATTTGATGATGGGATATCCGCGTGCGCCGTTGGTCGGGGCGGTTAGCGATCATATTAGATTTAGTTGACCGAATTGTGAAAAAACTCGCGGCACTTGGCGGGATTCGAACACGCATAGGAGAGTGGCCTTTTAGCCAAGCCAACGCTCTATGCATTTGAGCAACGAATGTCGCGCTTCACACCGTGAGTTTAACCACACTTGGATCGATAATACCCGCCCAACTTTCCCGCTCACATGGAATCCACCAATACGGATCAATTTTACCCGCCCAACTTTACCGCTCGTATGGAATCCACCAATACGGAACGGCAAGTTGACTGCGCAAGCAGGATTTCCTAAGCAATCATCTAGAATCCACCATAATGACTATTAGGCTGACTTAATTATTAAGTTGGTTTGGCAGATTTAGTTAATTAGTTGGCCCAATTGTGAAAAAACTCGCGGCATTTGGCGGGATTCGAACCCGCATGGGTCAGCTAAATTAACTAAATTTGCTAAACCAACTTAATGATCATATTAAACCCCATTTAAGTGTCTTCCCCAAAGGTTTGAGTACGCGACACAACTTGTCCTCGTAATTTTATTATTTTAAAGAAATTTTGCGATCGAATTTGTTACCTGTCAAGCCCTGCCCGTCCTCTCCCCTAAAATCAGGTGCCCGTGGGCCTGAAATGCACGCTTTAGACGATTCCCCGGCGGCCCCACAAGGAACCCCTATCGAAATTTCTAGTTTTCTTCTTTCGTTTATGCATTGCTTGAATTACGCTGGACTAAAACAATCAATTTTTCGCTTGATTTGGCTCATTAGAAGATTACAGGAGTAAAATATTTCGCAAGCTCACGTGCGGACATACCGGTCAGTGAGTGATAAATTTAAATAGAATTTTCAATTGCAATTGCAAAAGAACCATTTATTTTTACACTACAAGTAACTTCCTTCCGTCATATTTATTTGTTATTATTTTGGGTTTTTGATTACGGAGAGTTTGAGCGTTTCCCTAAAGTGCTACTTAAGACATTATGATTTTCACTGGCTTCAGCCGATTGACATAAATAATTGATCTACGTGCTTACCGAAACCTTAAAAATAAGATATATCTTAAAAACATTTTCATAACTAAAGAACTTTTAAACATTCTTTCGCATGCTGGTGTCTGTTTGGGTCAACTCACTGCTGAGAAAAATGCACGTCCACAACAAAAATCTAGAGTGAATATGCCTCAGATTGATTTAAAAAATTTCAGCACCAAGTAATCCCTTGCAAAATAGCTCCAATTGTATACTGGGGCATCGGATATCTGCATGCTTCATTTTTTTGACGATAACGTTAAAATCAGAATGGGACATTTTGGCCAGTTTTTTTAAAAAAACATTAAAATGAGAAATACATCCGCATAAATGAAAGTGTTTGATTTCAACTTAAACCAGAACAAATTTCAGTATATTTGGCTACGTCTAGGATCAGCTATACAATAGCAAAAGCAGAGCAGTGTGGCAGTTATATCAACGGCGATTATTGAATAAACTGTTTCACAATGTCCCGTGACAACTCACTTTAAAGTGTGTTATGCTAACTGTCTCCAACTTAATATTGATTGTACAGTGCATTTGTTTACCTTATACTAATAAAAATCACAAACGAATTCCTTGCCGTTAACCCCTTAAATATACCGTATAAATTTGACATGAGGTAAAGCGAATAAGAGACTTAAACTTCTATTACTCAATTTTATGGCAAAAGAATTGGCAGATATGCAAAATAGAATTTTTAAACTTATCTTGATTTTCTTTTCCCAAAAATGATGCGCTGTATCATAATAGCACTCACCTCACTTTCATTTGCGTAATACAGAATTTTCTTTTTTGTAAACAGATACAAAAGTTACTGCTCCTCATTAATGTTTTTTATAGTACAGCACGCACAAACAAGAATTTATTTTCCGCAGCGTTTAAGTAGTGTAGGAAATTCCTCGGATATAAACAAACGCTGTATTTCGCCCATTTCCGCCTTTATTTTCTCCCACTATACTGATGTGAATGGAATTCAATTCTATTAAACAGCATTTTGCACCTTAAGTCAATCCAATGAACTAAATAAACAACCTTAAATTTTTGTTAAATTCCCCAATTCCCAACCTTTCATCGGATATATTATTGATTGTAAGTAGCTAAGCTATATTTCCGTTTCGTTGACGTCGTGTTATCACCTTTATAATGCAATGAAAGTTAGCGGGAAAAACTAAATTAAGTAATTTCGGTTTCGAAAACAAGTCCTTTTTTTCTCATAGCTCGATAATAGAAGCAAGTTATACATATAAATTGAAATTATCAAATTGCTTTTGTACGATTTTGCGAAAGTTACCATGTAAAATCTCAGCAGATGAATTGGCGAACATACTTTTATCTTCGATAAATTTTTGTCAGGCCCTAACAATTATTGGGTAATTAATAAAATAAACTATGCGGGTTGGCAGAACAAAGAGTACGGTTGTTAGGGGAGGAGTTTGGGGTCAGAAGCTGATTAGCCGCAAATACCATGGGCAAAAGCTGCTAATCCAACAGCCAGCCGCTTATTAGCTCGGACGAGTACCACATCACTCCTAACGCTGATCAGATTTTGAACCCGACCCCCCCCTCTTTCCCTTCCCCTGACAACCGTGCTAAATTTTACTACCAACCTGAAAAGGCCTGCCGAGCCTTTATCGAAAATGAACGTATGTTCGCCAATTAATCTTCTGAAATGTTCAATGATTGCATTTATAATATTAAGTTGCCTATATGGGAACAGTGAAGAAGAAGGTTTACACTTATTTTCTGGGAGACCATATTCTCGGCACCTTGATCTGCTGAGGTTCCCCTGCATAAATCGTTCACCTCTTCCTGGGTTAATATTAGAATAACCCATTAGCTTTTCTCATTTTCAAGCTAGGGAGTCCGTTCCATTGTGCTGCGTGGCAGTGCTAACGTGCGAACACATAGTTGAGCATAGAACTACGAACTGGCGCAGCGGTTCCGCTTAATTCTCTTCCCACACGGATTTCTTGAAGGACTTAAAAGCCATCTCAATGACTGAGGGAGATATTGTGTTTAAAAGTCCTCTGTTAAATCTAAGGACGCTATAAATGAGATATAAATTAGCAATCAGTTTCGTTCTGTCACAAAATATCCTCAAGTACATGTTCAAAGTTTCCAGATTTTTCGACCAATAAAGCTTAATTGAAAAAGAAAATTTGGGTATAAGGTGTGTCCTGAAGGTAATTTGAATTTGATGCAAGATTGTTCGCATCGGGTACTTACCATACTGATAAACGGTTACCGGAATCCCCTGGCAACCCCAAGTAATATACCCCAGGGGTATACGATAGCCTTTGTCGAGGTAACCGGCTGCGTCCTCCTTGCTCCAGTTATACGCCGGGTGGCTCGCCTCCCCAAGAGGTTCACATTTTAAGGGTGGACAGTCGTTATCGCTACCGTTCCTGTAGCTGGCTATTCGAGTCTCCGCCTTTGTAGTTTTCAGACCGAGTACTACTTCTCGCGGCACATCCAGTTTACAGTTATAATTGCTGTTCCGATAGATGATCAATTGCTCTTTGATGAGGAACCGGTATCGTTTAGCATTGAGGTCAGTTCTACGCTTGCGCACACAGTCGCACTCGTAAAATTCGTAATTCTTTTTAAGCTTTGCAAGCTCCAAGGTGTTGGTAAATGTCGTTCCTTTTAGAGGTTGAGTGCATTTTACGTCGCACATATTTGGGACTTCCCGATTTGGCTTTAAATGTGCCCAGTTGGTGCCGTTCTTGTAGGTTGGAATAACAAATACTTGAGAGGTCATTTGCACTGTTTTTACCGAAAACTTGACTGAAGCTTAAGGTAGAAAAGGACATCCAAAGATCAGGCATGACAAGCCGACTCTAAACTGTACTGCAAATAATAATAATAATAACAATACAAGCAATTTTCAATAACGGATCCCTAGATCATACGGAATATTCCATGAACAACTTCTCACACTCCCGCACACACACACCCACAAGATGGGCATTTTGGGAAGATTCAGTATTCCATGGATATGATATCCACAGTTAAAGCCCAGCTCCAGCGTAACTTGATGTGGAGACTGCGCTAATATATCAAGGTTTCACCTTTGTGCGATAAAGTCTGAGAAAATATTATGGGATGGTGTACATACACCCGGAGTATGCTCACGGATTGTCTCACCGGGGAAAGGGCCATACGTGAGATTTTAATAGTAAGTGTGTAAGAAGTATTTATGTCCGAAACCCCAATTTTAGCCTACACGTCCGGCGTCAGAATCACCGTCTTGGCGGAGGGGTTGTATTAGTATGATAAGGAAAAAATAAGCTAATGACCTTGAGCTCCATATTGGTAACAATAAAAATGGGAAACAAAAATACGTCAATTTGATGCTTGCATGCGAAAAGCGAGCATCTTTTGGGGAAATTGATATAGTAATAAAACATGAGTACTCTTGGTAAACGAGTAGTATAATCTATGTATTAAACCGAGTTTCTGGTGAATGAGATTAGTTCGCATGTAAGGTTTGCTTCTTACTTTATTTGCAGAAATTGTAAAGATTCCATCTTTTGTAAGAGTGTTCCACACTGCAAGAAATAACTAAACACCAGAATAATGCCTATGAACACCAGTTGCATTTGATCCTTAACCTTCTTCGCCATGTTTAAAATGCTCTGAGTATTGGGTATTGGGTTCATTATTTATGTAATTTCGCGAATACTTCAGGGGTTGATTGGCCGCAGTGGACTAACGTATTCAGCGTGAAAGAGCGAGGACTCTCATGGTGTCTCTGTTCGTTCTGCGATTTCAACAACGCCTCACTATCAGAGGCGGCCGAGCGGAATTCTACGGCACAGGCAACCGAATTGCGCAAGGCTCAAGGCCGGCATGAGCAGCAGAGTGATGAAAATCAAGCACCATTGAAATTTTAGGGAGTAGTTGGCTTTAGTGTGTCACGTACTGTAGGTGACCTATCCCCTAAGCGACACAGGTCAGACTGGACGCATGGTTAACTCGGGAATACACGAGCATAAGCTAGTTGAAATACGGAACCTCGGACTATAACCACATGTGACTGAGTGGACCTACGAAACGGGTCAAGTACTTAACTATGCAGCCACGCCATCAGCTAAGCAATGGGAATTAGCTTGTAGCCTCCGATTGGAATTTAGTCAATCAACCTATTTATCTGGCAGTGACATACAGAGCCCTGCGCAATCACCTCCACACTAATTTCACTGGTACTTGATGGGATTTCCGTCCCCCATCTCTGCCGATAAACTTCAGTCGGCCTTGGAAAGCTCAGGCAAATACGGCCGCAATTTAGACAAGCGACCACCATTCTTATTTATTATTTACAAGTACAGCTGGAATGCGCACATTCGTGTCAGTTCTAAGGTATCTCAGTAATCAGTCTAAAAATAACTTTTTACGCTTCTATTTTGGGATACAGTAGATTAAGGAATCCGCATTGCACGGATTACGCAGGGGAAGGTCCTGCTTGACCAATCTGCTCTGTTGTCTAGAACAATGGA